GAGGAATTCCATTTGGAAAGCTCATTTGGAGCACCTGAGAGGCAGCTGGCCATGTAATTCTGGAGCTCAGGAAGGATAGATCTAAATTGGAGAGGAGAGCAGGGAGAGATGGGTGGCCTTTGGCCTTGGGGCTGGTGGACAACACACAGGAGTGCAGAACAAATTCAAATTCCTACAAAAGTCTCCCCTTAAGGAGGTGGCACAAAATAGCAGAACTTGAGACAAATGAAGGTGCAAATAATAAATACCATTTACAGAGGCTTAAGGTCCTAAGCAAGAACCTTTAACCAGTGCAACAGCTCTATTAAGTGGCAACTATTTATTGCTCGACTCACAGTGAGGAAAATAGGCTTTAGAGAGACAAAGGGGCTTTCACTGAAAACTGCATAATGGCAACATCAGGAGCTGGACTCACGTGTGTGATTATAAAGTAGCTGGTTTTAACCACTGTTCTTGTCTATGTGTACACCTGGGAGGTGTGTGTGTGTGTGTGTGTGTGTGTGTGTGTGGTTTTCGTTCTTGGAATTACTAAAACTTTGTTGTAGCTCAAAGAATGAAATTCCCATTGAGAGCAAACTTCCGAGCAGTTTTTCTAGCTAGGGCTGACCCAACCCAAATTTCCAACTGTCATTCTGACTCTGACCTTTACAAGAGAGGAAGAAAAAGAGAGGAATCTCAATGGTAACCCAGTCAGTGAGAAGATGCACAGCCCATCATCTCTAGGTCTTCGTGTCACAGAAGCCTCCAGTCTTTAAACCCGAAGAGAAAAGCATAGAAGTTTTCTACGTTGAGAAGGGCAAGCTCCTAGGCGTGTCTCCAGCGCCCAATCACCACGGCCATTTCAGCACCATGGCCAGGGCACGCGGAAGCCTCCCAAGGCCTCACATTGCTTGCCGGGGCGAGTCTGTCTGAGAGGCGCCCGCGCAGTTGGCCTTGGCTCAGGAATCCAGGAAGCACAGGCAGCAGACAGAGACTGGGGTTTGGCAGGCGTCTCCACACTCCGGGCTGTGGCTAAAGCTCCTGGATAACTTCTTGGCTTTACAAGGATGCGGAGGACGCTGCTCCAGTCAAAGCGGACACAAACTACAGACAGTCTCGATGCCCAGCACCCCACCCTTCCCTCTACACTCTTAGAGTAAAGAGCACTTAACTGCCCACTAGAACGAGGATCCCAGTCACAGTTTGTTTTAATAGCTTTCCAAGTGACCGAGGGCCTTGGGGAAGTCACTTATGTCTAGGACTTTGAGTCCTGTTTTCACGAACGTGGCTACTCTACCCTGGCCACCTCACTGGCTACAGGAGGTCCCCCGAGATAGGAAGCATCTGGCTTTACACTGCCCCTGCACCTTGCTTCTTGACGAAGGACAGGCAAATTATCAAAAAACACTCACCCCTTTTCTTGAGCTCTGGCCTAGAGATTTTAAAAGGAGAGAAGGAGAAAGTCACAGAGCTGAGAAAATTAATTACATGAACACAAAGATGTAATCACATTTATCCAGCTAATTCTGGGCCCCTTCTGCAGTCGAATCATCCCCCAGAGTATTCCCAGTTCTAGGGACTGCAGGGCGTCTTCCCTCACTTCCCGTAGTGGGGAACTTTGACTTTACTCACTGCAAGCAGGACCTTCTTCTAGGGACTCAAAAATCCAGTGAAAGAGTTTTAGGAGCTCTCTCCAACTTCTTGTGTGCGTGTGACAGCTCGGAGACTTTTCCAAGGTCACACAGCCTAGCAGCCTGTGGGGGGAGGGCTGGGCCAGGCCTCGCCTGCCTTTGTGCCAGTCCAGTGGCCTGGCTCCCAGACATTAGCATTCCAATGGCCCTGGGATGCTTTGTCTTCCGACCCTAGCCTGCTAGGGAGTGGGGTGGGGTGGGGGCAGGGCACCATAAATCTACCTGCGTGTGCGCAGGCGAGCGGGGGTGGTGCAACGAGGCGCAAGATTCATGTCTTGTTTTCCTGGAAGCCAGAGTTAGGCTCAGACAAAGGCATAAGAGGGAGAAGAATCTTTCCACCCAACACTCTTTCCTGTCTCCACTTGGGATCCAATCCGGGTTTCAGGGAGCTGGAGCGCGGAAGGTGATCTCAGACTGAGAAAGGCTCTTCAGCCAAAGCAGCGCGGGGCGGAGGAAGCCTGAGAAGAGCCGCAGCCAAAACCGCTAGTCGCTGCAGTGATTTTAAAAGTCGCTGGATACAAAATGCTCACTGGGCTCGTAGGACACGCCTCTCTCCTCTCATGGAAAGGCTTCTGTCTTGATCGCAGAAGGGCATTTTGGAAAGGACAGAGGAAGTTGCTCACCTCGGCGCAGTTTCGTGTATTTCCACACACTTTGATGGCACTCGCCCTAGGCACCAAGCCCTGACTCTGGCAGAGATTAAACCACACCCTTCTCCTTCCTCCATCTTCTTCCCACTCTGACAGTAGGGCTGACAACTCGCCCTCCACTTCAGGTAGCAACTGAGTTAGTTAAATCCTGTATGTGTTTTAATTCGTGGGGGCGGAGGACCAGTTTGTGTGCCCTGGTTGACTAATGGCTCCTTAATGAGCACTCTAGAAGGCAGGACAGGGGCTGACTGGGCAGCGGGTGTCTCAGGTCCTACAGCTGCGGCCACGGACGACGCAGTGCCTAGAGACCCTCATCCAGCTTCAGATGGTCCTTCCCACCAAAGATCCCGCCCCCACGAAAGCTACTCCCCACAGCCTTGCTTCTGAAGAAGAGTCTTCTGCTCGAAGAATTCCTCTCCAAACTTTTAGTCCAGAGCCAAAGGCCACCCCCCTCCCCAAGCCTCTGGCAAACCACCTGCAATCCAGACCCAGGTGATGGGTGGGTTTGTGGCTTCTACTTCCATTGAACACCGACATTTCTTTTGCCTTAGGTAATTTTGTATTCATGGCACCTTCTTGCTTTTTAGGTCTTCTGCATCCTTTCTCCCAGTGCCTGTCAAGCAGCGGGAGTTACTTGGTCTGTGCGAGGTGGAGCTGTCTGCACCTGCCCCAGGCAGTGTCCCAGGTGGAAAGTTGTTTGCTGCAGTCACCAATAACCCATTAATCTCTGCCTCCCAGTTTAAGGCTTTGAAATGAAACTACTCTCCATTCATTCATTTGCATGCTGTGTACCCCTTCTTGACCCCAAATCCTGCCTCTAAGTACTAGCACATAGCTTCTCCAAGCTGCCTTTAGGGACTTGGAAATTGAGGAAAGGAAAAGTTCAGTTTGAAGTGAGGACGGAGAGAGGAAGAGATGGAAGGGAAGGGAAGAGAGAGAGAGACAGAGAGAGAGAGAGAGAGAGAGAGAGAGAGAGAGAGAGAGAGAGAGAGAGAGAGGCTGATTTATCCCTGAAAAGCCACCACAAGCACAAGCACTCAGAGTGCAGAACAGAGACCTATGCAAAGCTCCTGGCCCCTCTCCCCTGTGTCGGCCCATCTCTTTCTAGCATCTCTGGGGTTCAACTAACCAGCCAGGTTCCTGACCTCCATTTTCCCATTCCAAAGCAGCCAGTGTACTGCAGGTTCTTACAGCTAGATGGGGTTCTGAGGCCCTAGAGGTTGCAGTTGCAAGCAGGGGCACTGCACTGGCCACTTCAGGATGGGTTTCAGTGACCATAGGATATCAGCCCCATCCTCCTGGGGCGTAAGAATGACCACATAGCTGGAAACTCGGAACACTTTTCTGATAAATTTCAGTCAAGGCTGCTAGCACTGGGGGACAGTGTCCCAGACATTCTGGCTCACCCTCCCCTTCCAGCCTGCTGCTATATGGAATGAACCAAGGCACTGCCTCCCCAGAACTGGATGTATAAAGCGCACTTCAGGTGATGCACTGGCCTAAGCGCTGGGGAAAATTCTAGGAAGCCCAGCATGCTAGGACTCTGACTCGGAGACTAATTATTCCCTCTTTCCGCTAAATGCAGGTTGACAGAGTAGGAGAAAACCAGCAGACAAGTCAAGTCTGGAGTCTCAGTTGGAGGTCTTTCTTCTACGTCATTGTTGGGAATAAGGCAAGTCGATACCCTACAAAGAAAACAAGAGGGCTGGACCAATGATTTAAGAGGCTTTCACTATCAGAATGCAATCTGCCACCCCCAGCGAGGCCCGCAAGGGATGGGACCCCCCCCCCCATTCTCGTCCCTTTCCTTCAGCAGAGGTGATCCCTGCTCAACTGCAGCAGCTGCAACCTTCTGCCACACAATTGAGTCGCCTTAATGAGGATTCTTAAGGGTTCATCTTTTATTGGCTCAAAATCTTATTCACCAGTCCCCAATAATCTTATGTACAAAATATAGACTTTCCCCACCATGAAATCTGATCAATAAATACAAATGTGTAAAACAGCGGAGGAGGCATATAATTTACCGTCACAAAATTCATTTCAGCAGACATTATATAGTTTACCAGTTGATTCCTTTTAAGTGAGGCTCGCAGAGCCCCCCGGCACCTGCCGGCACAGCTCACGTTTCCCCTACAGGGCACAGGGAAGCTGGGGAGGTCGGCTAGCGAGTTCCCGGTACGCAGCTCGCTCTCGCGTTTCCGGGTGGGCAACGGCTCCAAAAAGTGCAGCAGGAGAAGGCGGAGGATCGCCTTCATGGATTAAGGCAGAATGGAGCAGCCCGAAACCCGGACTTCGTAGGGAGCAGAGGTCAGTGACGTGTCTGGAGCAGGCAAGAGAGCAAGCGAGGAGAAGCCAAACACTGCGTTAAAACACGCTGGGGGAGGGGCGGTAAAGGGGAGCCAGACAGACAACTTGAGTGAGGGCTAGGAGACAGAAGACCGTGGCCGTCTCCTTTGTGTAGTGTTGCCATTCTCGTCTTCTTTGAACAAGATTTTGGAGTGGACAAAGACAGGAGACCTAAAATACGCACAACCTGCCGCGCTCACTCCTCGCGGGCAGCGCCGGGGGCTGCAGAGCGGAAGACCCGCAGGGGTCAGCTAGCAACAGGCAGGAAGAGCCGCTCAACCCCGACAGCTCTGGCTCCCTCCCTCTCTTAAAAAACCGGAGACTGACTGGTTCACAGGAAGTCTGAGAAAACCAAGGAGCCGGAATGTAGGTAGGGAGGGGAGGTAGGCGCCCGCAGCCCGGGGCGCTCCTCTAGCGAGGTGGCGGGGCTCAGGCTACCAGACTGGGAAACTGGAGAGTAGAGGGAGCCCCAGTCACAGGGGGAGCCGCCATCCGGGCTGCCCAGCTCCCCGCACGACGTTGCGGGCAGCTCTGGCCCATAGAAGCTGTGGTCCGCTATGCGCAGCGTCTGAGTCAGCGCCCAGATGTAGTTGTGAGCGAAGCGCAGCGTCTCGATCTTAGTGAGCTTCGCATCATCCGGGAAGGTGGGCAGGACACCGCGCAGCGCGTCCAGGGCGGAGTTGAGGTTGTGCATCCGGTTGCGCTCACGGTCGTTCGCCTTCTTGCGCCGACTCCGCCTCTGCTTGCTCAGAGTCAACTCGCTCTTGGGCCGGCTGCGCCCTCCGCGCCTAGCGCGTAGCTTCTTCGCAGCCCCTCGGCAACCACCTGCTTCTGGCTCCGCACAGTCCCGGGACGTGAGTGTGGGGCTGGGTGGAGCAGACGCCGCGCTAAGTATTTCGTTGTCTGAGGCTCCAGGGAAAGGTTGCTCGGTCTCGCGGGTCACTTGGATAGAGGGCGCACCCAAGGGATGAGGTGCCATCCTGAGGCCAAGTAAAAAGAAAGGGTAAGCATAGATCAGTTAACCAGAAAGTCCCCAGTTCTGAGGCCAGGTGGAAAAACCTATCCAGGATCCCTTCCCCCGCCCCCCTCGGAGGACCTCTTTCCCTGGCTGGCCCCTTGGCGGACGCCACTATTACCTGTTAATGCGGAAGCCAAGAATGGAACAGTGGGTCGCAGAGAGCAGCTGGGAGCTGGGTCGCGCTCGTTGGCTCCCAAGTTGTGCCTAGCCGCAAGCGCCCTGCCTGGGAGTTGCCTCAGACCTAGAGGAGAAGAGCAGCGCGAAGTGCGAACCGGACGTCTGTAGCTCTCTTGTCACGGGGCTGAGACCACTGGACTTCCAGAGCCACAAGTCGTGTGCCCTCAGGCACGCTTTATCTGCTCTCCCGGGGCCAGGAGCGTGGCTGCCTGGCTGCTGCCCGCGCCACTGGCCAATCAGCGCCTGGGCCCCGGGACCTCGACACGCGAGCCTGCTCCTCCCCCGCGAGGCACAGCTGGATTCCGGACAAAGGGCCGGGGTCGGGGGAGGCGAGCTCCGCTCTGTTTGCTCTGTCCTCTGGGCTCGGTCCCAGCAACTCTCGGTTCTTCAAAGAGCCTCGCCCAGTGAGAAGAGCCCCGTCTGGCGAGCGTCTGGCCGCCCTGGACCGCTTCGCCCCTCCCATCTTTCCCGGGTACCTGTCCAGGTCCCTCTTGGTACTGTGGAGGGGGCTTTGAGGAGCCTGTCGGGGTCAAGCCCTCAGTGTTACTTGCGGGAAATGTAGGCTCAAAAGAGAATGCAGCTCACCCCAAATCAGCAGGCAAGACTGTCAGAGACAGAAGGAGGAGCCATGGTCCCATGTAGCAGCATGAAGGAGCATCCACTAAATCTAAATGCCATGTGTTCTCTTCTGTGGGTCAAACTATGAACTACGTGGGGTCATGTTTCACTCACTCTGTTCTGGAAGGAATGACAGGGTAGCCACAGAAAGAGATCCTACGGGTTTCCCTTCCATTCAGGGGCATTTATCCCCAGGGTGTCCAAGCACCCCGCCCCCCCCAATGCTTTCTCACTCTGCAGGCACTTAGAATCCCACCTACTCGCATTCAAAACCTAAGACTTTTGAGCCCACCACAGAGATCAGAGTGGCTGCCTGGGACTCCAGATGTATTCTACCCAGGCCAGTCAAGGACAGCTTCCGGTGTTGAGGGGAGGGCCTGGGTGGGAGAGCTCTGGGAAGTGTGAGAGGTCAGCAGGGAGCCAGGAGTTCACTGTGAGCCCTTGTGCCTTTTGAGTGCCCAGTGGCAGGAAAGAGCTTCAGGTTTCACCTAGCTCAGCTTCCCCCTCTCCCCATCACATCCACTGGTGTCCTCAGGGGCAGCCCAGAGCAGGGACTCTTCAAGGCCCCACTTTGCCTCTCCTAACACTGCCTGGAAATCTTTCCAAGTGAGTCTGAAGACACCATCCCCCATCACCACCTCAGATACCCTGCAGTCTTCGGCTTCTGATCAGTAAGGGTGAGGGGTCATGGCTTTAGCCATCCCCTAGGGAAGGAAGCCAAAGTTGGGGTTAAGCCTGCATAGGCAGCAAGGCTTGCTTTTAACAGTTCCAGATACTTTAAGCCTCCCAGCAATGGCCCGACAGCCAGACTCAGCCTAGAGACTAAGGGGTGGGCCAGGGGCCAGGTAGATCTGCCCTTCTATCCTTGGGATGGGCTCTGCTTGCCCAGTCGGCTTGAGGGTGGAATCTCCATCGAGGTAGAGAATGGTGCATTTGGGAACCAGTGGGAGGAGGCTCTAAGACTGAGTTAGGTGGGGCTGCTGACCTGTGACCTCAGTTTGTAGCTGTGAACAGAGGGTCTTTTCTTGGCTGTCTGGAAATGAAGTCTGGGGTCAAGGTCTGGACCAACGAACACCTTATTCATGTGATTCTTGCATCCTCAATTTTGTTGCAGCTGTCCCCTTGTATCAAGACTTGCATCAAGATTGTCTTCTAGGCTTAAAAGTGTGAGCTGCCTGCCCTCTTCACAGATGGAACAGTCAAGGCCCAGAGAAGAAAAGTGACTCATCCAGGGTTGCACTGCAAGTGCTACCAGAACCACATGGAAGTCGAGCCAAAGACTCCTAGGTCCAGGTTTTCATATGCACTGGGTGCCTGTTACTGATATGGGGGAAATCAAGAGACTCCTAAATGCAGAAAACAGAAGTCCTGAATCTGTGACAAATGACAAGATCAGATTAGAAAAGAGTAACGGTCCAGACTCCCAGGCAGGAGAGCTGCTTCTACTCACATTCCATCCTTCCACTCTTCAGCTCCACACTCCAGCCTTGCTTCATTTATACCCCCCAGCACAGTAGGAACCAGGAGAGGAATCTCAGAGCATGCTTTCCTAGGGCCCTGGGATGTGTCTGGACTCTGTGGAGAGACCCTTGACTGAGGGACCCAAGTACCCCTCTGGTATCCTGCAAACCTAGAAAGCAGCCCGCCTTAGTAACTCTCATCTGGGTGTGAATGTCAAGTGGCAGTGGAGCTTGTCCTGGTGAGAGTGTCTCATTTGAGAAACTAGTTGGTACTGGCCAGGGCGCAGGGCCAGTCTCCTGCGCCAGAGAAAAATCTGGGAATTCTTGCCAAAACTTCCTAATTGACAGTGATTTCTGGGACTGGCTTGGAATTCTTATGCAGACTCCCCAACACTGCACCGGCTCCGGGGCCTCAAGGGCTCTCCAACTAGCACTACCTCCTTTGCGCAAAAAGCTGTCAGGGGCGAGGAGCGCAGCCGGAGAAGCTGTCCTTGCCAGACGCAAAGGACTTTCTGCGGCCCTGCTTCTGGTCCAGTGGCGCTGATCCGATGGTCAGGAATCTCGGTGGTTTAGAGACCAGAATCCGTACCGGGTATCCCAGTTGCAGCGCAGGCACTGACCCCCTCTCCAAAGTTAATTCCTGTGCTTTGGCGGCAGAGGCGCAGGCGTTCACCGCGCAGTGCGCACTAGCTGTTTTTATAAAATGGCTCTTCCCTCTGGAATCAGAGCCTTTTCTTTTAGCCCCGAGTCATTCACCACCTTTAAGATCCCTAGGACCCCGGTGCTCCTGGACCTTCAGGGACCTGCACGAGCTTGAAGGTTGAGGGGGTCCAGGAGAGAGGCGACAGCCAGACGCCTGAAACCCGTGGGCAGATTGGAAAAGGAAGGCAGGGGCTTGCTCTGCCGCCTTCTTGTGGGTGGGGGGAATCTTAGCATTGCCTGGGGGCTCTTTGAGAATCGACGGGGGAGGGGGTCTGGAGAAGTTGAATAGCTAATGGCTTGCCAGAGGAGGGGGCTTCTTTCTCTCGCCTTCGCTTCTGCCCTGAAAGAGGGGAAGACAAAAATCTGGCGAGCGGGCTGCCCGGCCGAGAATGGCCACTTCAAACAGCCCTTCAAACAAAAGGAGACGACGAAAAGAAAGCCCCACCTGTCTCCAGTGTTTGCTAAAATAATAATAAATAGATTTCGTTTAATAAATAATTACAAGAGATTGTAAAGTGGAGTGCTTTGGAAAACATCTACGGCGGGAGTCAGCGCAGCCAGCCGTCACCTGCTCCCGAGGCGGACAACTTTATTGTTACGCCACCCCCCAACTAGTTCGCCTCTGATAAACTCTCCCTCGTTTTCACAATGACTGTTTACTCATAGTTAGCACAATATTACCTTTGCCGTGATAAACCCGGAGGGGGGGCGACCTGGCCCCTGGCCCCTGGACACACCTGTCCCAGAAGCTGACACATGGATTTGGCACCGAGCTGGCCTCCCCCCCGGGGGCCCTGCCCCCGTGTACATTGGCCCAATTGCCACTCATTTATAACAGGTTGGCTGCAAGGCCTATCTCGGTCCTATTTGTCTTCTTTTATTGAAAGCATATGGTCTCCAGGGGCTCACCAGCCCCATATTTCATCTGCCAGGGGCTGGGGCGCTTCCGCAGGCTGGTGCTGCCCAGCGCGCTGCTCCCCACCAGCTGCTGAGCCAGTTGGAGGGATGGTGGAGGTTGGGTGGGGAGAGATAAGGCAGGCTCCTCTTAGGCTTTGGGAGAGAAACCGTTTCCTTAGAAGTTCCCCCTCCCCTAGGCCCGGGACCTCGTGCGCTCTTGAGTGGGTGGCTGGTTCCTTTTCTTGGGTAGGTGAGAGGGCGCCATATGTTACCCCGCCCCCCCTAGGGCGCACGAAGGAGCTTCGGTTCAGGGAGTCCTTGAACAAAGAGAGGAGAGGGCCCCTACATTCAGGAGCACCCGAGGTCTTTATTCCAGGATCCTCCTCTTTGCCTAGGGCCGCCTCCCCCCGGGCGTTCTCAGCTCGCGCTCTGCGCCTGGAAACAAAGTGTCCACATTATTGGCGGCCGGCGGCTGAGACCGTGAATGCGTGAAAAGGTGCATTGCGCGCACCGAGACACCTGTTGAAAAGGCGCCTCTTCTCAGCGCCTCTCTGCTCCGCGCTCGGTCAGGAGCTAGGCAGGGAGTGGGGGGTGGGAGGAGGGAGAGATACTGTGATTTGTGGCGACATATGTTGAGCAGGTCGGTGTGTACTCTTCACAGGCATACACGCGCCCTCGCTCCCATACACACCCCGGGAGAAGGAGCAGCTGCTCGCCTCACCTTCTTCCGACATAATACCTGGGCCGGGCGCTTTGGCCTCGCCTTTTGAGGCACGGATTTCCCCCCACCCCTTCTCTTCCGCCACCTCCTCGCCCCCAACCTTGGCAGCTTTGCTGTAGGACGTTATTGTCAAATTTAACAGATGCACATTTGTTCCCAGCACCCACCCCAAACACACACACACACACACACACACGCACGCACGCACGCACGCACGCACGCACGCAAGCATGCACAGAAAATGCGGCTGACACACAGATGCAGGGCACAAGATGCCCATGTGTCCAGCTCTGCGCACGCCTAGGCTGGGGAAGCAAACAGGCTCTGTGATTTTCCCTCCCCAGAAAGAAATAAACAACGGAAGCCAGAGGGGCCAGGAGGCCACC